CCTAAGTCTTTTTCTTCTGTCAACAATGGAATACGCTCGGTTTTAAGGGAATACGCTCGGTTTTAAGGCTCTAAGAGGTTTTCTCTTGTTTTGTGATACAGAGATGTTTACATTTCTTAGTCATAGAGTTGAACTTCATACCTCAGGTCTCACTCCGATTTATATTGATGTAAGGTGGATAGGTCTTGTTGCAGAATGTCTCGGTCTAATTGACCTCGTATAACTCTGCTGCATTTTGCTTCATCGGTATAAAAGGGTAATAGGATTTTACGAGATAGCTTCGATCCAATGTCATTAGTGTAAATAAGAAACAGAATAGGACCAATTATTGAGCCTTGTGGGACGTCAGAAGATACATATTTCCAATCTGAGCAGATGCCGTCGATAGATACTCTGTGATGTCTATGTGCGAGGTAATCACCTATCCAGTGCAGCAAAAGGTTAGCAATACCTAAATACTCCAACTTGTATAGAGGCTTTTCATGTGGTACTCGATCAAAAGCCTTTTCCATATTAAGGTAGACGTTATCAATTTGTTCTCCAGCATCTAACGATGTTGCCAATTTGTGTACATAGCAGAGTAGCTGCGTAACACAGGATCTATACCTTCTAAAGCCATGCTGTGAAGGACTTAAATCTGGTTCAATCAGATTAAGAATTCTCGAGTGAACACATCGCTCAAGTGCCTTGGATAAAATAGGTTGGAGGGCAATTCCTCTGTAGTTGGTGACTCTATTGTCAACATTCTTAAACATCCCGTGGATATCTCGGACATGAATGACTCTCACTCCGACTATGATTCGGACTTTGAGTCAGATTCAGACTGTTGATTAGAACGGTAGTGTAGGAGCTGCTCGTAAAGTCTCTCCTAATTGGTCGTAGGAGACAATGACATGTCATTCTTCCAATTGTTTTAGTATTGTTTGAGGTCAGGAAAACGCGCCATTGGTGAATTCTCTTCCGAGCAGCTGCTACATGGCATTAGAACAACACTGTATTACTAATGCAACTTGTTTTGATTTTATTTTCAAGTTTATTTTGGTTCAATGAGGTGCATTTAGAATTGTCAGTGCAGAATTTAATAGAGGGCGGCATACCGGGTGAAAGTCATTATAAGTCACTGAATTACAGAGAAGGAAAAACAACAGTCCTATTCAGGTCTACGTTCACCTGGACGATTATACTCAACCTACTCATGAGCTACTTCAGGCTACTTAAGTTGAACATTTTCTGGGTGAGCTCAGGCTTTACGGCTGCCTTCATTGCCACAGCCCCCTACTCTTATATGGGTAGAAAGCCCTGGATAAGATGATGTTGCTGATGTTTCCGTAACGAAGATAAAAGACGGACGGGGAGTTAGCGACAGAGGAAACGTAGGTTTCCTCACTAAAAAAACAAATACAACAATAAAACAAAGCTTATATCTTTTAGTCATAGAGTTGACAAAAATAGTATTTAGAAAGATGTAAAATAAATAGGAGAAATAAAACCAACTAACAGGCTACGACCACAGTGTCCTTATTAGAGAGAGTTTTTTTCAAGCAAACGTCTGTAACGTCAGTAATCTGTTTTTGCCTGGGATTTAGCTGCTGTTCCCTTGCAACGAAACAATTACTATAGAAATAGCTTCTGCTAGAGCGGGGCTGTTCCGTGGAACAATTTGCCCTTTGATGTAAGTCATGGAAGACAGCAAAATTTTTGACCAACTCTCAGAAACTGTTAACTTCTAGCTCGAACACGGAATTCATGGAAAACAGGCCTTAATTTAATAAAGTAATTTTCTTTCTTTCTTTCTTTCGGCATTTATTTCTGTAAGTGCTATTACTGTTAATTCAATAGTTCGTAATATGTTAGGATATTCTTTTATTAGCCTGTTGTTTTTGCCTTGTATAAATAAAAGTGATAATGATGATGATGATGTGTCCGTTATAGCGGGGTGTCCAGGCCAGGAGCCCGTAGTGATTTTTTAAAAATAGAGTACTTTACTTTACAATTTTTTAGAATGACAATAACCTCCCAAAAAGCCGGAACAATGCAAACCTCCATGTTCTTCAAGATCCACCCCTTGTTATTGGCAGGAGCCCATTATTGACTCCTGTGAGTAGCCAATTGGAAAACAAAAATTTCAGATCCTTGATAAGGCCTGGTAAATGCGTAAGGTCATCATTAGCGAGTCAGAACAGTTGTACTAGCGCACCCATCGCATCATCCCACCTCCCAACGGGCCTGGTGTCCGCAAGGCAGGAGTTGACGGTATTCAGTGTCATCAAGGACTAATAGGTGAATGTAAGTTATGTGGCCTTTGAATAATTTATTGATCATTTATTGATCGTCAGCAAAAATCAACGGCATTTCACTAATTTTTTTAGTCCTCGACTAGTTGTTAACTACAGTCAACTCTTGCCTTGCGGTCACCCCGCTATAACGAATACCCCTATAATACGAACAGAAGACAAAAACAAATTACAGACGTTTGACTAAAATAAACTCTCGCTGTAAAGGACTCTCGCTAATGACGACACTAAGGGACTGTGCAATAATTATCAGGAGGGGGGGCTGAAAAACTAGAGTTATCTAGCAAAAACTTAGACAGTACCCCCCTCCAAAACAAAAAAATTAGGTCTAACCCCCCCTTCTGTTATGTTAAAAATAACGTCGCACCGCCCCGCCCCCCCCCCCTCCCACCACACTGGTAAACTCAAAACTGGACTGAGCTGCCATCACAGCTTCAATAATGACAAACGTTATTATGTAACATCTAGTATCGAGAAGGATGTTCATCGCTTGATTGAAGATTTAGACAAAGCATTTGCTAAGTACCGGGGTGCTTACCACATTGGCTCAAAATCTAAAATTTCTGAAGCCAGAAAGAGAAAGGAGCAGAGAAAAAAAATCAAAAAACAGGAGATTGAACGCCTCAAATAACAGACGAAAAAGAGCTTGCATTATATTTAGATCCTTGGGAGGAGAGTCTGTTGAACTTTGTTATGAGCCACATATATATGGAATTCTGCAAATCGATTCAGTCGATGAAGAAACATTACTTTTTGTCACATCAAAAACCGACAAAGCTTGTCTACGAGATCTGTTTGATTCCCATTGTTTTATGGGGGAAGCTGAAAAACAAGTTCATGATTTTTGCTTTACATAGGATAAGCTCAATTAATTAGAAGACGGGTTAAAATTGATCAGTTGTGAATTTGCTTTTCATTTTGATGGAATATTTTCAATAATCGTTTAACAGCTGTTCGTGTTCATATTTGTTACAGTCTATCATGATGCCTGTATTGAGAATCTTTTATTGCGTTTAATTTTATTTACATTTCGAATAAAACTTAAGGCCCCCCCCTCCGTCAAATGAGTGATTTTACTTTGAGCCCCCAATATCTTGGCAGCAATTTTATGTAATGCCCCCCCTCTGGTTTTAGGGCCCCTCCCTCCTGATAATTATTGCACAGTCCCCAACTCGAGGTCCCTACAGTGTCACTCAGTGATTTCATGAATTGGCGTCATCAAATGATTATGTCCGACATTAAAAAGACTAAGAAGGGTTTAACCTCTCAGAATTTCATGCAATTTCTCTCACGTACAACGTGAAATCAAACAGCATTATACTGAAGAAGACTGTGATTCCAAATCAGTATCGGAGAACGATAGAAAAAGTCGTGTTTTGAATGAACGTGAAAAACAACCTCTACACTAAAATTCAAAACGGCAATCGAAAAACTCCGCTACGAAAATGTTAATAATGGCCTGAGAAGTTTTTTGGTCATCTCTAACCTTTGCTGCCATCTCTTCTATCGTTCCTTATCAATAGGCGAACCTTCGCTGACGTTCATTGTTTACATTTTCGCTCATTAGCATACGGTTTAACGCATAGAAGGCGAACTAAATTTGTGCAATTTCAGCTCTTAGCAAGCAATATAGAACGAATTAACAGCTGTCAAAAACTGGGAAATTGCTGAGTGGCGGAAAAGGTAATTAGTCATACATTCATTGTAAAATTTCGAGTTTTAAAAGAGAACTTCTCTAAAACCATTCGGTATATCAGGCTCAAATGTTCATTGTTATCCTCTTTCAATATTCAGAGATTTATTTTATTAGCTTCATCAGATAATAATAAGCATATGTTAATAAAACCAAAAATGTAAACAAAGATTAGCCTATAGAACCCTTTTAGCTTTTTCTTGTATGTTTCGTTTTCCCATTTCAAGCCATGTGATGTTCCCCCAGAATTCATAATTTATGAAAAGACAAATTCCTTAATCACAGGACACGTAAGTCACGTAAACTTACATGGAACAAAAAGGGGACGAGCGTCAAAGGAACCACTCGGTAACTCTAAGCCATATTTGACCACAACTCAGATCTACACACTTTCCAGTCTTGTGACGTGTTAAAAGGTTTCTCACCTTTAATGAAAGAGTAGAAAGAGGGCCCCTACTTCCCGGGATTAAAAGCAAAGTCATAGAAAGTAAAACCGGCCTTAAACACCTGACATCATAAACCAAATGCGATATTCCGAGTAGTGCAAAAGACCCGACAGAAATAAAGACATGCCTGATGTCATTTAAATTCAATATTTCTTACTCATTAAGAAAGGTGATTAAATGGCAATTAATACTCTAGTACATCCAGCTGGAGCGATAATGTTATCAGTTGAATAAACCACTTTCCAGTGGATAACACAATTAGTTTTCTAGTACTTAAACGGTAGAAAGTGACTTATCTCACGGATGGCCCTATCCAACAATTTAAACAAACAGAGCCTGCATTAGTAACATTAATTTCTTTTTTTGGATTGCCTACGAATTGTTCTGTCCACCTTCAAAAACCACAAAGTTTACTTCTTAGATAAAGTTGCCTTATGGCAACCCAAAACCAACTTTTAAGCAAAGCCAACTAACCACAGTTAAAAAAGAAGAATATGCTTGCATTCAAAATAGGAACCTTTACAGAAACAAACAAAACTTAACTAAACCTAAAGCCCAAAGCGTTCTTTACGAACCATCTTCCGGTATATTTATCATATGATTTTCATAATGTTGAAGAAGGAGAGCTTCACTTCCCATCTCCTCTTGACAAATCCAACAGCTGTGTTCCTCAATGATGGCTGATCGCTGGTCTTGTACCCTATTGTCTGCAGTCTCTCTTTGTGTGAGTGAGATGTTTGTGAAACTTATCCTCACATTACTTCCTGCTCTCTTACCCTTGCGAGGCAGACCTTTACAAGAAGTTTCGATACTATCACGTTTATGCGAGTGTTTTCTACCGTGGACCTTCCCATGACTCTTAAAAATATCTGATTGACTAAAATACTCGCCAGACTTTTGATATCCACAATGCTTTTCTCCAATGTGCATCCCATAATGTTCCTTTAGACTTTTGGATTGGCTAAAACAGTTGCCACACTTGTTGCATTTATAACGACTTTTCCCAGTGTGAACTCGTTCGTGTCTCCTTAGGTGTCCTGCTACACTAAAACACTTGCCACACTGTTTACAACCATAAGGCTTTTCCCCAGTGTGAACTCTTTCATGAATCCTTAAGTTTCTTGCTTCACTAAAACACTTGCCACACTGTAGACATTCATAAGGCTTTTCTCCAGTGTGATTTCTTTCATGGCTCCTTAGGTTTCCTGATATGCTAAAACACTTGCCACACTGTTTACATTCATAAGGCTTTTCCCCAGTGTGAACTCTTTCATGTCTCTTTAGGTGTGCTGCTACACTAAAACACTTGCCACACTGTTTACATTCATAGGGCTTTTCCCTAGTGTGAACTCTTTTATGAATCCTTAAGTTTGTTGCACCACTAAAACACTTTCCACACTGTTTACATTCATAGGGCTTTTCCCTAGTGTGAACTCTTTTATGAATCCTTAAGTTTGTTGCACCACTAAAACACTTTCCACACTGTTGACATTCATAAGGCTTTTCCCCAGTGTGAACTCTTTCATGAACCCTTAGTGTTCCTGCTCTACTAAAACACTTTCCACACTGTTTACATTCATAAGGCTTTTCCCCAGTGTGAACTCTTTCATGTCTCTTTAGGTGTGCTGCTACACTAAAACACTTGCCACACTGTTTACATTCATAAGGCTTTTCCCCAGTGTGAACTCTTTCATGCCTCCTTAGGTTTCTTGCTTCACTAAAACACTTTCCACACCGTTGACATTCATAAGGCTTTTCCCCAGTGTGAACTCTTTCATGAACCCTTAGTGTTCCTGCTCTACTAAAACACTTGCCGCACTGTTTACATTCATAAGGCTTTTCTCCAGTGTGGACTCTTCCATGGCTCCTTAGGTTTCCTGATGTGCTAAAACACTTTCCACACTGTTTACATTCATAAGGCTTTTCCCCAGTGTGAACTCTTTCATGGCTGCTTAGGTGTCCCAATTGCCTAAAACAGTTTTCACACTGTTGACATTCGTAAGGCTTTTCTCCAGTGTGGACTCTTTCATGGTTCCTTAGGTTTCCTGATATGGTAAAACACTTGCCACACTGTTGACATTCATAAGGCTCTTCCCCAGTGTGAACTCTTTCATGACATCTTAAGTTTCCTGAATGGGTAAAACACTTTCCATACTGCTTAAATTTTAAAGACATGGGCTGCAACTTCCTTCGGACCTTTTTAAAATAAGATAAAGATATTATCATTCAACTTTCCTAAACCTTTAAATTTAAATGTGGACTTCTATTGAAATATTCTAGTTAAAATATGTCAACCTTTTTAGTAAGAATTTTTTTGTGTAATCAAGTTGTATTCTTCTTTTTTTCTCCTAGTTTAACCCGTATTTTTATGTTTTAAAATTGCGTCATCTTTTCCCTAATGTTATGTCTATTTAAACTAATCTAGGGGAAGCTTAGAACCCATATAAGCCCCACGCTCCCAGTTCAGGTAATATATGTAACCTGTGAAGTGACAAAACATATAATAAATCAATCAATGAATTGTATTAACAATATTTGTACTGTTACAATCATTGGGACAATTTCACTTTGTCAGATCTGCTTGAAAAACATCTTTTGATCCACTTAAGTCTATTAGAAATTTAAACAACAATTTATCTTGCAAAACTTCAAGAATTTGAATTCCCCCAAAAATCCACCTGCCTGTTGGACAAGTTAAGAATAGAATTGATCCACTAGCCTTAGACTATCAATGTTTCGTCCCAAAAAATCCTCTTAAAGAAACAGCTGCTCATATTTTCTAATTATTGTTTTAACCACCTACTGAAACAACCAATCATTTATCAGCAAATTGAGAATGACATCAGTTTTTGAGCAAAGAATGAGCACCTGTGATTTCCGCTGCCTTGTATGTAGGTGCCAGCCACATCAGGCCAGGGCTCAAAGACTGAAGTTTTCCACTGCACAAAGTGAATAGCACACTTGACACTAAAAAGGAGTGACTTTAAACTAAACAGCAGAGCTTGGTAGAAAAGCTGGATCAACAAATTTCCCATTGCCAAAATATTTTTTTACAGGAAACAGCTGATTGTTGTCAGATTATCGTCATTGTTCATTGGGTCCTGTCCATTTTAGAGGCAGACCATACATTTTATTTTAAACCCCACAGACAAATAAAACAGTTACTGGAATTGAAAGTAACAAAGCAAATATAACATGCTAAGTGCAGCAAGGATGGTCATCAAATTGCTGCAATTTCAAAAGAGTTTCATTGAGAACAAAAGCTAATGTATGTGACAAAACAAAAAATGGCTTCATAGAAGACAAATCAACTGTGCACATGATGTGGTAGAATGTACATGTAGGTTATGATTTGATAGCATGTGAAAGGGTAATTTCCCACGAAACAGTTCCCGACAGTGGAACTGTAACTGTCAGTAATTGAAACTGGAAAAGAAATGTGGTTTGAGCAAGCGTTTCCTGGAGAACAGCATTGTGTGACAAGACAAAAACAGCTGCCAGGGGGACAAAGGGAATTGAACAAGTAAAAGGTTTTTTGAGTTCAATTTTTCTTTTGTGGGTCACTCATACTCCATTAGACAGGGGAAATCTCCAGCCCTGTATACTCAGTAATAACACTAACACAATATTATAAATGTACACCTTTTTTATCTTCTTTTACATGTACCTTAGCTGTAATATTATTTTTACTTAAAGTAACTGTGCACTTTACTCTTCAGTTTAATAAATTTTTAATAAAAAAAATGACACAAAAAATAAAAGAAACTGGACCAGTGGTTTCCTTTACACGTGTAGCACCTGTGACACACAGTTCAGTTAGTTAGAAAATAGAAGGAACTCAAACTTCACATATTTGATTTGTTTTGAAATTCAATCAAGACAGTAAAGTTTTTGAAGACTTTTCAGATACATTTCTTACTCTAAGGTCAATAAAGTTATACGTTCTTTAAAAAGAATTTACATGTATGTATGTATAAATGTTTCACAAACATTTTATAAATTTTGTCATCAGTGCAATAGAAAAATTGGCTCATCCTTGGTGTAGAAATCTGTGAAAGTCATGAGTGATGTAAAAAAACGAATACAAAGAAGCCACTGAGGAGTCAACATAATAGAGCCAAGGAAACTCATGGCTAGAAAACAAGGAAAAACTTACAGGTTTTTACACCGAGGTACATGTAAACCAGATTACAAACTGCACCCTGATCTGAAATTAATATTGTGTTGAATTTGGCCTTGTGCTCATGAATCTGATTTTCCCCACCTTTAGACTAACTTCTTAATTTGTGAATATTGTTTGTAAGGGGCTTCAATTTCAGTAACCAGCAGGTTTGAATAGAGTAACAAGGGGCCATTAGTCCCCATTTTCTAGAAGGGGAGCAGGCGTCTGGGCGCGTTCTGCCCAGACGGAAATGAGGCTTTCAGCCTTCTGGGGACTCAAAAGGACAAAAGAGCGTATTTTTCATTCAAGAAAATGTGGTTTTCAATTTATCAGTCACACTGTCAATTCCTACAAGCAATAATCAAATGATTAAAACTAAATTACGTACTTTCGCAGGTAAAAGGAAAACGGTAAATCAAAACGATGGTAGTAAAGAGGCACAGAATTTTTTTTTTCTAGCAAGGAAAAGCCTCCTGGGAGGTATCATATCTTTTGATCTCAAATCATTTGAAATTTGCATACATCTGTGAAAGGTCAAAACATTATTTCTGGGAAACTTGTTGAAAAAAAACTTAAATATTGAATAAAATGTGTGCCGATTGCTGATACTGTCGATAATCAAATGATAATCCACGCATGAAAGTGAAGATGGCTACAAAGGACTAGAGGTCCGTGACTATTCATGATGCATTTGTAAACAAACTTTGTAACATGACATGAGTGGCTGGTGACGAAATTGCCTTGAGATGAAAACTTGGCTGAAATTTATCTTTGAACAGATAGCTTCAGTTGCTCGAATGGTGACCAATTTCTTTTTTGAATGGATAGCCCAAGCCATTCGAATTGATAACAAGTTTCTTTGAACAGATAGCCCCAGCTGTTCGAAGGGATGATAACTTCTTCGAACAGATAGCCCAAGCCATTTGAACAGATGACAAATTTTTTTGAACAGATTTTCCAAACGGACATCCCAAGCTGTTTGAACAGATGAACATTTTTTTCATAAAGGATAGCCCAAGCCGTTCAAACGGATGACAAATTTATTTGCACAGATACCCAGTCTGTTCAAACGGCTAATAAACAGCAAATGTACAGCTATCCATTCGAAGAGCCGGGCAAACCATAAGGAATGTTTTTGCTTGAGAGGTCACAAATTCTGCATAAACTTATAAAGAAACTTGTGAAAAAATGACTGAAACTATAGCATTTACATGACTAAAGCATAACATAAAACCAGTGGGCCTTTAATGAAAACACATCATAATTATGCATAGTTCAATTTGACCTGTTACTAACCCCCCAGGCAACCTCCGGGACAAGTCCAGCCCTTCGGGCCCAGGGGTGGCGAATTGTTTGAAGCAGTTTTGTCCTGGGGCTAGGGAGTGGGGAAAATCCAAAATTTTGT